ATGTATCAAATGCAAGTTTTCCCAGACAACCTTCGAATGAGTTTATCTCCCGTTTCCAGCACAAGCAAATTATTTCGTTTCTGCCGCTGGCCGAGCTAATATTCTTTTTTATTTCACATTTACTGTATTTATTTTTTAAGTCTGAAATGAACATTCTCAGAGCAGCGCCTGAGTCCTTCAGCTGATGAGAAGTCCTTCTTTCTCCAACCTTTGGTCCAGCCACGGGTCACCGGCACCCCACACCAAGTGCGCCATCGGTGGTGCCCTGCGGGTCGTGGGACCCGCCCGCCGCCCCAGGCACACCCCTCGACCTTTGGGGCTCAGATGCAGACTTCCAGGCGGGCGGGGCCGTCGCAGCTGGGAGCTGCCTACCACCTCCAGCCCCAGGGGGACCTGCCACCTCCTATCACCCGCTGCCTGTCTCCTGCGCTTCTCCAGAAATCTGACATTTGGGGTTGGGGGGGAGGAGGAAGAAAAGGCAAGAGGCAAACTTCTGAGTGACAGCTGATGGCTCATGCCTCCCGTTATAGCTTTACCTGGTGACGGAAGGGGTGGCGACACGCGAGAACCCAAGGACGGATTACCTGCGATCCAGAGCCCCCCCCTCCAGCGGCCAGAGAATGGGGGTTCCAAGGAGGCTCCAGGAGACGATGGCTGAGCAAGAGAACCGAGGGAGATTTTCACAGTTCCCGCCAAGGACAGCCAGCACCTCGTGCCACCAAGGGGGGGGTCCAGGCCGCCCTGCGCTTGGCTCTTTAGAAGCTGCCCCTCTTCTGCCGTCTACCTCCCACTGGACCCCGGGCTCCCACCCGGCGTAACGCAGAGGAGGAGGTGCAGACATGGAAACTGAGGCCCAGGAAAGTGATGTGCCTTGCCTGGGTGGGCACTGGAAGTCCACCCTGGCCGGCCAAGGCCCGAGCCCTCGCTGCTCTGACCCCCGAGACCCCTCCCCAAGGCGACACACCTTGAGAGCTTCACCATAGGACAGTAATGGGACCAAACATGGGGGGCTGACAGGGCGGGGACGAGGTCCAGGGAGACCCACCCTAGCCTCAGGAAGTGACGGAGCTGGGGGGGAGGGGAGGGCGATCACACCTGTAGCACACGCCACGTGACGTCACAGTCACCGCTGTTGGGTTCGTCCCCAGATGCAGGGACTGCAGGTCCACAGGTCGAGCCTCGCCACCCGAGGCCGGCCGGCAGCAGGGGGGCGCAGCCCTGGGCTGGGTCCTGCACGCAGCAGGCCACGAACCCCACACCCCTGCGCCCCGGTCTCCCCGCCCCTCCTCAGAGAACGCCCATCCCAGAGGACGGCTCAGAGACTCCTGCTCAGTGCAAAGCCCAGAAGGCCCCTGGTGCGCCCCCCCCCAGGGTCTGCCATCTCCCTCCAAGGACAGACCCTGAGGGCCATCGGAAAACCCACAGAGGCAGGGAGGGGCCACAGGAAGGGATCTGAAGACACAGAGAAACTCTCCCATCGGTGAACACATACCGGAACCAGATGCGGGCGCCTGACTCGGACCTCTAGGCCGAGGCCCTCGCCTCTGACCCCTCCGCCCCGCTGTCCCCAGATGGGACACAGTCTCCATGGCGCCTCCTCACCCACAACGGACGCTCGGGGGGCGGGGCCAGGGCCCGTAGCTACACCCCCCAAGGGCAGGGGCACCACCTGCCCACCCCATGGTCAAGTTCTGCATGAGGGACAGAACAGCAGCCCTGGTGGCCACCTTTCCACATGCCCCCAGCCCGTCACCCCTCGAGGGCCGGGTGGGGGTGCCGCAGGTGCGCCGGTGCTGAATGAACGAAAGAACGAATGAATGAATCCCTTCAGGAGACAAAGCTTCAGAAACGTCCTCCTTCTCTTCTCCTATTTCTCTATCATTAAAAAAAAAAAAAAGGAACAGTAACTGCTCCCTTCATCCCATCTCCAGAATCCTGCCCCAGGGGAAGGGGTCGACACGGGGTCCAACCCTGACAGAATCCCAACTCAGTTCTCACCCTGGGGACGCCCCTAAGGGCGGAAGGGACCCCAACTGTGTGCAGGCCAGCCCGGCCCACCCATTCCTGGAGCCTGGCGCGCAGAAACACCCGGCGGCGAGGGGACAGCATGCAGAGTGCCTTCTGGGAAAAGCACGGCCCCCCCGGCCACAGTGGGCACCTCAGCTCGGAGGGCCAAGCCAGAGATGGAGTCCCAAGAATTAATAGCCGCCGGGCCCGGGGACAGGGGTGCAGGGAAGGGCTGGGGCATCCCCCGCCAGCCAGAGCCGGCCGGGCAGCGGGCCCCACAGAGGCCGGGGCGCGGTCCACGGAGCCCGCAGCGCCCGCAGCTGCGTGGGGTTCCGGAAGCCCCTGCGGAACAGCGCCTGCGACTCCTCGTCCCTCTCTTAAAATATAAAGACTCCATTATCTTTGAGCAGCTTGCTTTACACATGAATTGACACATTTATTTTACAATAAATAACGGAAAGTTATCTGTGTTTCCTTTACTGTTAATCTACACAGAGAAATAATAAACAGGGCTCGTCGGCAAAAATGCAGCCGCTGCAGCCCTCGGAATTCAATTAAGCTAAAATAATTAATGCTCCTACCCTATTAAATGACTTTATACATTGGAGCCCCTGAAGTTTTATTCTTTAATCTTTCCTTTGTATTAAATAAAGAAAAAAAGTTGGTGCGGAAGGAGGGAGAGAACGGGGGGAAGGCAGGGACCGGGAGCGAAGGGCACGGCCGGCCGGCGAAGGGGACGGTCACCTTCCGCGGACGCGGCGCGGGGTCTGTTTTGTGCCTTTGATTGAAATAACATCGAAGACGCTTTGAACAAACGCATCTCTTTGGACTTCAAGGGGCTCTTTTTACACATTTCTTCAAGAATGAAGAAACCCGTTCATCCTGTTGCTGAACAGAGAAGGGCTGGGGTACCTGTGGCCGCACAGGAAACAGAAATCCTGGATGGAGCTGCTATGGCGTCCCCACCCACGGGAGTGGGGGTGGGGGAGGGCAAGGCGCCGTGGAGACGACCTTTGCCTTTGGTGGGACCACGTTCCCCGGCTTTCTTAAGCGAGCCCACCCCTGGGGGGCTGCGGCCTCTGGCGGGGGGCTGCGGCCTCTGGCGGGGGGCTGCTCCTGGGAGATGGGGACCCCGGAAGGGACAGCAGAAAGCCTTCCCACTAAGACATGGGTCGGGGCCCACGCCTCTCGGGCAGAGCCACCCCTGAGCGGTCCCTGGCATTGACCCCGCTGGTGAGAACAGTCCTCGAGCGCCCAGTGAAGGAATCGGAGGGCGGGGACCCCAAGCACGCAGCGTCCTTCTCGTCCAGGGCTGCAGCCTTCGAGGAGGAGGGGCCGGGCGGGCCTGCACACACCTCGGAACCAGGGTGTGCGCGCCTGCGGCCTGGGACCCCTCTCCCAACGCCCCTGGCACCTGCGGAGTGTGCGAGCGCTCACGCTGGGACACACACCAGGAGGCCAATGGCCCCGTTAACCACCACCCGGGTCTCTCCACAGGACAGCTTTGGTCGGTCCCATTGCACAGATGGGCAAAGCGAGGCCCACAATCGCAGGGCTGCTGTGTGGCTGCTACCGAGAAGCCGGGCTTGCGGGGTCACCCTGCCCACTGCCTCCTGGCGCCGGGGGTGTCTGCACACACCCGTCCGTCTCACCCGTGGCTGTGGGGGACCCCAGCTGGCCAGCGTCACCCTCCAGAGAGCACGAAACCTCAGTCCCTCCAGCATCCCCGCTGGCCGCCGCGTCTAAAACACAATGGAGACAGATCCGCACATCTCCGCCGCCGGCCGCCTCTGCCCGTCTGCCCACTGCGGCACGGAGGGGGCCTCCCGCAAGAAAAGCTCCGCTGGCAAAGCGTTCGCCAAGCCACTGCTCCGGTAATGCGCACACAGGCTTGCCAGCGTGACCGCTCCCCTCCAACAGGTGGGGAAACTGAGGCAGGGGCCCAGCAGCCACGCGTCCGAAATCAGCCATTGGGATTCGAACCTCCTCTGCACGTGCTCTACTGCTGTCTCGCTGTAGGGCAGACTGTCGCTCCAGGGGATGCAGGCCAACAGAACCCTCCTGGGCCCACCAGGTCTCCTGGGCTCAGTGTGGCGAACCAGAAGCAAGCACCCTGGGGTGCAGAGAGCCTGGGCTCCGTGGCGGAGGGTCTGGCCAGCCGTGGCCACGGCCTGGAGACAGAGACCAGTGCAAACCCGCTGTGGGGGCAGAGTGGCTGGAGGACGCAGGCCCCGCACCTAGTCTGCAGGCAGTAAGAGCCAGTGGTCCAGGTGGCCAGCCACGTGGGTGTGCCAAGGGCAACATCCAACCTCCCGAAGGGGCACAGTGTCCAGTAAGCACCCAGCAGCCCTTCCCCAGACCTACCCGTAGGGACAAGACAGTGTCAGAAGGGGCCTCTTTGCACAGATGGGAAACCGAGACCAGAGGGAGGAGAGGGAGGGGGTGAGCACCATTCACAAGTGCCTTGCCAGGACCACCCACGCAGTCCCGACACGAGCTCACGACAACCCTCACGGAAGAGGGCTCGCTGGTGTCACCTCCCAGATGGTGGAACCGACTAGGCCAAGGTGTAAAGAACAGATTCCAACCCAAGACGATCTGGTTCCAAAGCCAGGCCACAGACGAGGCCACAAGGCCCAGCAGACGGAGGGCCAACCACGCTTCCAGATCCCCTTGCTGACTGACTCCTGGCCACCTGTGCCCGAGGCCACACCTGTGCAGCGAGAGCCCCACAACCAGAAGCAAAGCAACCGTCAGCCAGTCAGGCCGCCCTGAACCCCAGGCCTGTCTCCTCCTGAAGGTCCCCTGGACGGTGGGCCTCGGGAAGGGCGAGCCCAGGGGTGGCCCAGAGGCCCCCCCCCGGCAGCTCCCGAGCTGTCCCAACACCGACACCCCCAGTCAGAGGACGACCCCCCGACACGGCGAGGGGTGAAGGCAGGCACGGAACCCGGGAGACGGCGCCGGCACGGCCAGGCGAGGGCGGCGCTCCATACCTGCAAGGTTCTCCTGCTTGGGGCAAATGCCTTTCGTGGGTGAGAGCAGGTGGTCGTCTTCGTCGGGGGTGACCTGGATCCCGATCTCCACCGGCTCGGACACTTTCCTGAGCTCGGAGCGTGAGGAGGGCGGCGGGCTGCCCTTGTCCAGGCCTTTGTCATAGCAGGCACCCAGGCTGCCGCCACACTGCTTCTTCTTGTGCTCTATAAAAACCAGGATGTCCCCTAGAGGGAAGTTCATCTGACACTGTCCACAGGTGAGCAGGTCAGGGTCGGGGCCACCCACCAGCAGCCCCAGGCCGCTGGGCTCCTCTATGTCCAGACCCTCGTCTTCCTCAAGGATGGCCGCTTCCACATGGTCAGCCTCTGCTGCAGAGAGAAAGGACAAGGGGAGGGCAGAGAAGACAGAGACAGGCTTAGGCAGTCGCAAGCACCCATCGTGCGTTCCCACCCTTCCCCACCTCGAGGCGGTCCCCCTCGGCCTCGGGGGGCCAGGGTGCACCGGGTCCTCCCGGCACCCCCGGAGGCAGGGGGTTCACCATCCCGCGGGCGGGCGACAGGTGGGCACACTGGGGCCCCAAGAGCAACATCACGGCCCCCCGAGGCCGGGGCTTCATCGGTGCTGGCTTACTGCTTCCTAGTTCATTCTCTCCCAACGCCCCTCCCCCCACAGAGCACAGGGACACACGTGAGGCCACGTGCACACCGCACACCCCGGTTTCCCAGGCCCCGCGGCCACCCCAGCCGCGGCGCTGGCAGCCGGAGGTGCGTCTCTCACACTCTGCAGCTCCTCAGAATCACCTGGAAGCCAGGAAGACATTCCGTGCCCAGGCCAGCGAACGGCCCTGGGATCCAGGCCTCGATCGGGTCCTTGCTTCGGCCTCCTGGGTGGTGCCAATGGGCCGTCAAGGCCAAGCACCTGGAGCCAGAGGCGTCTGGCCCCGCCGGGCCCCCCCACCCCCGCGCTCCCCCTTTCATTCATGGCGTCTCCGTTCACGTGTGGCCGGCGTGCATTCCTCCACCTGAGGCCTGGCTGCACACCAGACGAGAACACGGAAACCCGGGCGGCGTCGGAGGGCCAGGCCTCCGGGAAGAACCCACAGGCTCAGAAAGCAACAAGTGAGGGACGGCTCCAAAGGAAACAGGGAGAGGAAAATCGGCTCGGGGAAGGGCGGGCAGGCTGAGGGGGCAGCTGGCTGTCCCGTGTCCCACCCTGCACCCCCCCCGTCAGACCCCCCCCATCCCCCCCCCCCGCCCGTGCTCCGTAGGGTTCCCAGCTCTCCTCCATCGCTCCGCCCTGTTCCCCGCTCACTCCCTTCAAAAGAAAAGGGAAACAAATTCTTCGGACTCCAGAGCATTTCTTGGCAGGGGACAAACCACCGTTTCAATGGGTTGTGCGTTTTCCTATTTGTTGGGCACCCGATACGCTTCCTTGTCAGTGTAAGGGGCAGAGGACCCAAGTATTGTGAAGCTCATAAATGCCTGGAAAAGCAGCGATCCCCTCGGGGGAAGCTGGAAGGCTGGGCAACAGCGAGGGCGTCATAAATCAGGGGGGTGGTGGACGAGCAGGCCGCCTCTGCCCTCGGGGTCCGGGCAAATCCGGGGAGGAGGTCTCGGAGGGCAGATGTCGGCGGGGGGGGCGGCCGGCCGGCCGGTGTGTCGGGGTCTGCGCAGGCCGGAGACCCGAGGGGGCAGGTAAACCCTGAGTGGCCTGGTGTTTCGGGGAGGGTGGTGGAAACCACAGAAGAACTGGGGGAAGGCAGGGAAGGGAGAAAAACACATTCCGTGGCAGTGAAGTTATTGGCGGGCCGGAGCCAAAGAACAGATAATTTCAGGAAAAAATTCTGTGGCATCTTTCATCCTACACATAAATCACTGCTCTGAGTTTTCCGGACACAGGCTTCCTCGGGGCCTGGGAGTCCGAGTGCGGGGCCGATCCGCGGCGGGCCGGCGCGCGACACAGCACACGCGGGAACCGGGAGCGTGTGGGCCCACGGGCAGGGGCCGCTGCGGAGAGGGGTGAGCATCGGAGACCCCGCTCGGGGCTGGAGAGGAGCAGGCAGAGCCTCCAACGCGTGACACGCAGACGCACGTTCGCCACGTGGCCGTACGAAGACTAAAAAACGCCCCGCGGTCAGCTTCCCTCCGGCCAGAAGGACCCGGAAGGCTCCGGACACAGTGCTCACCGAGCTGGCCACCCTCGGGGAGGAAACCGGAGTTCACGTGCAAAGGACTCGGAAGACAACGCATCCTAATTAATCTGCCGATTTATTTTACGCAGAGACACTTGGCTCTGGCTAGGATGTGACCGCAGCCCTCCCACCAAACGGCGGCTCTGGGGGGGACCGGGTTCCCGTGAACCGTTGGTCAGGGGGGAAGGTGATTCTTCGGAGCCTCTCCTCCCTGTAACGATCTAACATTGAGCAATACTGTTGATATTGAAAAGCTCACACCTTTAATTACCAATTACATATACATAATTCCAGAGCCAGAGGGGAGGGCTGTGAAAACAATTCTTTAGAAATACAAGGACGTACTGTGCGTCATTTCTAGAGGAGGAACTCTGCTAAATGGGAGGAGGGTGTCAAAATATTGTTTTGTTAAAAAAGAGAGAGAGAGAGAGGCACAAAGGAAATGCTCTGAAAAGAAGAAAAAAGAAAAAAAAAAAGAAAGAAAGAAGCAGGCGAGTTGGGTGGCGGGGAGGGTGGACGAGACCCCTGGGCTGAGAGCCGGGGGCAGCCTGGGCGGGCCGGGCACGCTGCCCCGGTCCATAAGGCCGCTGGATACAAAGAAACGAGGGTGACAGCGGGCGGTCCCTGCCCCCGACCCATCGTCCTTCCCTGGGCAGGGCAGGCGGGCGGGGAGGTGTCTCCCGTTGTTTAATTTCACCTTCGGTTCCGGTGGCTGCCTGTGCGCTGCTTTGCTTTCCATGAACTTTCCCGGCCTCAGCCTGGGCTCTCCTCCTGTGCAGGAGTTCTAGAAGGGCCCAGAGCTCCTCTCTGCTGGGGGCCGTAAAGCTACATAATTTCAAATTCACTTGGTAATTCCAAAGAGGCACGGACTAAGGTGAAAATTAGCAAGGTCCCACGCGCCTGTCTGCAAGCAGGCCTCCCCTCCCTTCCATCTTTTGCTGAGGACTCTGCACAGCTCTGTCTTCCTCGCCCTGTTTTTTTTATTTTTTATCTGTGTGTGTGTGTGTGTGTGTGTGTAACAGTTGGTCGGCTTCCCTTGACTGGACAGCCCCTGCCTTCACACTTTCCTTGCTCGCCCACCAGCCCAGTAAGCCCCAGCAGCCGAGTCTGAAAGTATCTCACACCGCTGTTCACCGTGCTGCCCGTGGGTCAGGTTCCGCCTCCGGCGCCCTCAAGGCCAACCCACCTGGGTGGAGGGGCGGGCCGGTGTGCCCGCGCCACTCTGAACTCGGGTCTCCACCCCCTGACCCCCGCGGATCCAGCTCACGGCCTCCAAAGGGAGCCAGGAGGCATGAAAGAAACACGCACCAGAAACTCTCCCCACAGGCCCCACTTTCAGTGTTGCAAGTAAAACTCCTGATGAAGAAGGCATTCGCCCAGCTCCAAGAATGGGGCTTCCTCTCCCTCCCCCACCCCGGGGTGTGGGGCCTGCTGCAAGAGACACTTCCCCGGGACGGCGGCAACAGCACCCCTGACATGTTCAGGCAGCAGAGGCACCCTGAACCTCCAAAACTGTCAAGCGTTTGGGTCAGAGCAGAGGGCCCAAGACAGCTTGCTGAGCCTTCAAAGCTCACACCCCAGGCGCGGGGAGACACCCCCCAAGTCGGCTGTGGTTTCATTTCCGCTGGCAGGCGGATACCAAGCTGGGTGTGTGTGCGTGTGTGTGTCCCTTCTGAGAACCGTATCGCTGACGGGAGAAATAAAAGGGGGAAGAGCCACTCGGCTAAGCTCAGGGAAGGGCAAGGCGAGGCCACGTCTGGCCTCCTAGAAGCCTCCCACCTCTGCCCTCTGGGCACCAAGCCGCACAGCCTCGCACAGCCTCAGAGAGAGCCAGGCTCCGCGTGCCCGGCAGAGCGGTCCCAACTGCCACCCACAGACGAGCCAGCCCCAGGAGAGAGACAGGCTACGTGCAAACAGAATCAGCCTTCCGAGTCCCCGGGCCCTGCACCGCCCCCCCCGCCCGCCCCCTGCTGTGTCCGGGGAACTCGGGCCTCACAAAAAGAAGGCAAGAGGGAGGTTTTCCCAGAGAGGACAGACGCAAGCGCCCCCCCACCCCTGCACCAGGTGGCCCTAGAAAATACTGCTGCTGGGGTGGAGAGATTGCTACAATGTTTGGCCCGTGAACAGGAAACAGGAATGGGCGTGCAGGCCCCTTGTCCCCGAGCCTGAGATGTTACACCCTGAAGGACACGGACAATTCCGTGTTTGCACACACGTTCATTTTCTTTTTACAACAAAACCACATTTTATGTGCAGCGCCGGGCCTCCTCCCAGCCGGTGAGTGCCTTTAGAAGCAATGAAATCAGGATTCTCGGGGAATAATGGACGCTGCCGTTAAGTGCACGTGGACGCGCTGCACCCGAAGCCGCGCTCGCCCGGGCCTCCGCTGGCCTGTGAAGGCGCGTGGGCAGAGGCCAGAGACGGGGAGGCATGGTCAGCACGGGCCCGGCCAGGCGGCCTCCGGGCCCCCGGCAGTTGCGCAGGCTTAGCAGGGCCTTACCTGGCCAGCGATCCCCTAGCACGCAGGGCCCCCCGGGCCCCGCCCACTCTGGTCCATCTCTGACAACTGCCCCTGCACCTGCCCCTCGGGGAATTCCAGCCAAGAGGCCCCACCTGCTGTCCCCAGAGCACTGCTGCACACAGAGCACACAGCCCGTGCCCCCGCACCCTGCAGTGACTCCCACCCCCATCTCCGCCTTCCATGGGGTCCGGGAGAAACATACACGGAGCTGTTGTTTCAGTGGCTGGGGGGCGGGGGGGGGGTTGGGAGTAGGGAAGGACGTGGGGGAGGGGTGCCAGGGTCTTCAAATCGTATGCCACCAACGTCACAGACACGGTCGTGGTGTGCACGCGTGTTTACAAGAGCCGGCCGTGAGAATGCCCGCACCGAGCCCTGCATCGATGGAGGACCTGCCACCTGCTTCCTGCGAACACGAGTCCTGGCCACGCCACGCTCGCCGAGGTCTGCGCGGGGACGGCCGCCGCGTCCCCTCCCGGGGAAGGCTCGGGGGGGGGGCCGGCACACACCCGGCACACGCACTCGCCAGAGCGCAACACTTGCTCCGCTGCCATCAATTTTTAATTTACTGGATCCAAGAGAAAACAGCCACCGTGGGGAGAGGGGGATGGGAGAGGGGAGGAATGGAAGCCCAGGGGAGACGCTGATCCAGGCAGGAC